AATATCAAGCTGCTGCCTGTAGAGCCACAATAGATGATGATTGCCCTTGATAATTTTTGATGAAACCATTGAAGGCAGTACTATGTGAATGAAACATGTGCGACATTCTTGTAGACATTTTGAAGTATTATCATCACAGGGCGTGACAGTTGTCAGAACCAGCACCTGAGACTAGCAAGTGTCTTTCTGGAGAGGACGTTCAGCACTTCCCCCTACCCTCCGGCCTGGGCAGAGGACCAGCGGCGGAGGAGCCAGACCAGGGCACTTCTAACAGACCGTTAAGGTTTGTTTGTTTTGAGTGGATGTCCGAGAGGGAACTTGGGCTGAGGTTAGGGTGGGAAGTGTGATAGTAAGAGAGTTTTAGAAAGACCGCCCGTCACGGTGGAAATGCAACCGTTCTATTGTAAATCTGGAAATGTTCCATTTTGTTGTTCATACCGTCCAGAGGTTGTGAACTGGTATTTTTTTCCACGAGCACTGTACTTCATGAAAACTTAGTTGTTAATTCTGCTCTGTGAATAAAACTGAAATAAGACATAAATACCTCCTTAAGAAAGATAAGTCATTTTATCAGAATGTCTAGACTATGGAGATACCCAAAGGAAATATTTTAAATGCAAAAAATTGCAAGATCTATTTTCCATCATTGATGCCAACAAAATCCTTGATTTTACAAAGTTGGCCATTATGAAAAACGTTAACATTTTTAAACTGTTTTTTAAAGTTATTTTAAATTAAGAATATATATATATACCTCAAATTTGAGCATTTTAACATTTGTATAGAAATATTGACCAAATTTAGGCTGTGCAGTGAACTGTTGCAAATAGAACCAACTTGTTACGCGCATTCATATGACTTTATGCAGTTGCGAGGGCCGTAAAACTCTAACTAAAACTAAAACCCGCTCTGCGCAAGACATGACAGATACTGTACGTCACAGCACAGTTTCTTGGCTCCTTCCCCGTATATGGTAAAATGACGAATAGTGTACGTTATATACGGAAGATCACGAAAGGGTGAAACCTTCCTGGTGATGACAGTTGGTTGTCATTTCATCCTTTTGTGTTGGATGTGACGTGGATTTTTACATTAGGCACATACTTATAGAATGTCTTGACTTTGGAGAGACCTGATTGAAATATGTTTTCAATGTATAAGTCTAAAGAATTTATTCTCTGCTGTTGATCCCAACAGTGTTCTTCATTTTACAAACTCTGCTAGCCTTTACTCAAAGGTGTAGATTCTAAAATGCAATGTTTCATCGTTTTGTTCTTGATTTTTTAATATTTTCAAACATTCCCTTTTTGGGGTAGTACTAGACCATTAGTTTTTCTGTTTCCTTTTTTCTCAGAGCACATCCAATTTCAACAAATGCATCCTGGAAGAGCGTTGAGTCAAGTAGGACCAAACTGAGTCGATAGTTCTGTAAAACACCTACTCTATCAATCGATCAATCAAGTATCCTGGATCAATAACAACATCAATCACATAGGAGCAGCCAGGAGAGATGATGGGAATTGCATTATTGTGTGTCTGTCTTGCTTTTGAAGTATGGTATACCGCGGTGACTTAAGCATATCTGGGAAAATGTTATGATGATTTTGAGATTAATTTTTTCTTTTTCAAAAGTGATTCTGAATATTTTTTTCAATGCATTACCCAAAAGAGTAATCAAATTGGGGTGTATTTATTTTTTCCCAGCTATATGCTTCAGTCACCTCGGGGTGCAATTGTTACAACAGTTTACGGGCTACAGTCAAACCTTGTACAGCCCCGCCATTATAATGTTTGTCATAGTCCTTTTGGTTTTTGTGTTGTAATTGTAGTGGTCTTTGTGTGTCATTGTCGTAGTGGGTCAAAGTCGTTGTTATCGAGGGTCGAAGTTATTGTGGTGGTTATCGTTGGTCGAAGTCGTCATGGTTATTGAGGGTCGAAGTTGTTGTCATGGTTATGGTTATTGTGGGTCGAAGTTGTTGTTATGTTTATCGTTGGTCGAAGTCGTCATGGTTGTCGAGGGTCGAAGTTGTTGTCATGGTTATCGTGGGTCGAAGTTGTTGTCATGGTTATCATTGGTCGAAGTTGTTGTCATGGTTATCGAGGGTCGAAGTCATTGCGGTTGCAGTTGTTGTGGTTGTCCTTGTCAAAGTTGTCGAAGTTGTTGTGTGTCAAAGTCATCATGTGTGGGTCGGTGGTCTGGTGGGGCTTGCTTTTTCTTTCCCTTCAAGGAAGCGTTATCCTTACCTCTCCTTCTCCTTTTTTGTGTTTGTTACTCACTTGCAATAGCTACTTCAGCATTTATATGACCTAATTATGTTGCAAATACTGTAAAACGCTTAGTACAGTCGACTACGGATGATTTGATGTTAAACAGCCCCGACTTCCCAGTGTGAAGGAAAATGATTCTTCTGACCAATTGTTTGAAGTCTTTTATTTCGTTTGGTGACTTACAGTTTTTGCTTATATCTGTTTAGAGTAGAGCTGTGTGTGTACATATATATATATA